TTGTACAACTCATCTCGCTACATGAAAGAACAGCATTAGTATCGCAATTCGAAACCGATAAACTCACTCGCTGTTCTTCATGTTCCGTTTCAGAGACACAAGACATGTGCACATTAATAGCATCATTATCATACAACACTGTAGACTGGCTGTTACCATCAGACGCTTCCTTCTCATCAGTACTCGACTGACAGTCAACCGGAGTAGAAACAATTACAGTTGCAAAACGTTGTGCATCTTCAATCAACTTAACATTTGCGGCAGGGTTCGAAGACGTCAAAACACTAGAAGGTTCATTCGATGAAGTAGATCGAATAGTCACTATAGATGGATTGCTCACACTTTCTGTCTCTTTACTACCGCTGCCACTACTACGATCCTGATGACTACTATCTCAATCGCTAGTCACAGCATCCGAAAGAGAACGAAGTTTACGCTTCTAAGTGATAGTAGCATCATGTCGTTTCTTCTGCTTATCACCTTGGGTAGCAGTACGTGAGTGTAATGTACGCTAACTTCGATGTCTATGAGTGTCTTTCGATTTCCCTTGAACACTATTACCGGCAGGAGTATTATCAACACTAATATCGTTAGTAGCCGCAGTTGTAGAAGTAGTAGTACACTTCTCATGACATCCACAGTGTCCAACTCTATTCGATCAACATCACTTTCCTTACTAGGAATGCTCTTAACCTCTTCGGTCTTATCACTGTTGGTAGTGCTCATCCCGAAGCTTGTAGTACGAGTCAAAGTGGAGTGCGACAGGTGGACAATTCCGTGCTGGATTCCTCATGCTGACTATTCAACACAACAGCATGTCCATTAAACCTAGATGACTCCTCATTGCACCTGTGATTTAGTTGGTACGCGCTGTGTTATACTTTAGAATTCCGCCAGTAGCTTTCAAATGTTCAGACACAGTGACTTGAAATTTTAGCAAGGTAAATCTTCCTGAAGACCGAGAATGTAAGCTTTATGATTTAAAATCGGTTGACGTCTATCTTAAGGAGAAGTCAGTATCTGTAGCAGATAAGGTGGCTTTTTTGAGGATGGCAAAGAAGGAAAAAGGCAGAAAGGTTAGGCATCAAGACGGATGGATTTGCTTGGAATCACCGAAACGCATTGGTCACAGGTAGAACAACTGAGACTAGGTTCAGGGGACATGCTGTTATACTCTGTTCATGAAGACCAAAATGCTTCACATTCACAAGGAGTTGCACTGATGTTGTACTAAAAAGCACAAAAGGCACTAATAGGATGGGAATCTCATGGACCTAGGATCATCAAAGCATCCTTCAAAACAAAGAAACATTACAATGAACGTCATTCAATGCTATGCACCTACACACGAATAAAACGACGAAGATGAAGATCAATTCTACGAAAGGTTGATGCTCACCAAGGGATTTGACCATTCTGATGGGAGACCTAAATGCCAAGGTTGGCATGGACAACACTGGATATGAAGACATCATGGGACGACATGGACTAGGAGAAAGGAACGAAAACGGTGAGAGATTTGCAAACCTATGTGCCTTCAACAAACTGGTCATCGGTGGCACAATATTCCCGCACAAACGCATTCACAAAGCCACATGGATTTCACCGGATCACACTACTCAAAACCAAATTGACCATATCTGTATCAACAAAAAGTTCAGAAGGACCATGGAGGATGTGAGAACCAAGAGAGGAGCTGATATAGCTTCAGACCACCACTTGCTGATCGCCAAAATGAAACTGAAACTAAAGAAGCACTGGACAACGGGGCAGACAACATCACACAAGTTTATTACGGCCTTACTTCGGGATACCGTAAAACTCAACGAATTCAAGATAGCCCTTACCAATAGGTTCCAGGCCTTTCAGGATCTACTCAATGGAGAGGAAGCAACATTGGAGTACAATTATAAAGGGATTCAGGAGGCAATCACTTCAACATGTCAGGAGGTCCTTGGTCGCAAGAAGCACCATCACAAGGAATGGATCTCTGTTGGTACTCTTGAAAAAATTGAAGAAAGCAGGAACAAGAGGGTAGCAATCAATGTCAGCAGAACAAGATCAGAGAAAGTTACCGCACAAGCTGCATACACAGAAGCAAACAAGGAAGTGAAGAAGAGCATCAGAGCTGACAAACGGAAATATGTGGAAGATCTAGCAATGACGGCGGAAAAGGCTGCAAGAGAAGGAAACATGAGACAATTGTACGAAACAACAAAGAAGCTCGCCGGGAACTATCGTAAACCAGAACGACCAGTGAAAAGCAAGGAAGGGAAAATAATCAGCAACACTGACGAACAGCGAAATAGGTGGGTAGAGCATTTTAAGGAACTATTGAATCGACCAGCTCCACTGAACCCACCCAACATCGAAGCAGCATCCAAGGACCTCCCAATAAATATTGGCGCACCTACGATTGAGGAGATCAGTATAGCCATCAGACAAATCAAGAGCGGCAAAGCAGCAGGACCAGACAACATTCCAGCAGAGGCAATCAAAGCAGATGTAGAAGCAACTGCGAAAATATTTCACATCCTCTTCAAGAAGATTTGGGATGAGGAACAAGTACCATCAGATTGGAAAGAAGGATACCTGATCAAAATACCAAAGAAAGGCGACCTGAGCAAGTGTGAGAACTACAGAGGCATCACTCGTCTGTCAATACCAGGCAAAGTCTTCAACAGAGTATTGTTAAACAGAATGAAGGACTTCGTAGACGCCCAACTTCGAGATCAACAGGCCGGATTTCGTAAGGATCGATCATGTACTGACCAAATTGCTACATTACGGATCATTGTGGAACAATCAATTGAATGGAACACACCACCATAAATTAACTCAAATAACTACGACTAGGCAATCGATAGCATGGACAGGAAAACACTATGGAGTCTTCTTCGACACTACGGGGTGCCTGAGAAGATAGTCAACATCATACTGAATAATTATGATGGTTGCAACTGTGAAATGATACACGGAGGTCAGCTGACAAACTCGTTAGAGGTGAAGACCGGTGTCTGGAAAGGTTGCTTACGCTCACACTTTCTCTTTCTCCTGGTGATCGACTGGATTATGAAGACGTCAACATCTGGAGGAAAGCACGGTATCAACTGGACAGTTGGGACGCAGCTGGACGATCTGGACTTCACAGATGACCTGGCTCTTCTATCGCACACGCAACAACAAATGCAAGAGAAGACGATCAGTGTAGCGGCAGACTCAGCAGCAGTAGGTCTCAACGTATATAAAGGGAAAACTAAGATTCTACGATACAACAAAACATGCAACAACCAAATCACGATTGATGGAGATGCCTTGGAGGACGTTAACACCTTAACATTTCTGGGCAGCATCATCGACAACCAAGGTGGATTCGATGCAGATGTGAGGGCACGGATCGGCAAAGCAAGGGTTGCATTTCTACATTTGAAAAATATCTGGAACTCCAAACAAATATCGATCCACACCAAAATCAGGATTTTCAATACAAATGTGAAGACAGTTCTATTGTATGGAGCGGAAAATCGGAGAACTACGAAAGCCATCGTCCAGAAGACACAAGTGTTTATCAACAGTTGTCTACGCAAAATACTTCGGATTCGTTGACCAGACACTATCATCAACAACGTACTGAGGGAGAGAACAAACCAGATTCCAGTGGAGCAGGAAATCAGGAAGAAGTGGTGGAAGTGGATAGGACCCACACTGCGAAAAGCACCCAAATGCGTCACAAGACAAGCCCTCACATGGAACCATCAAGATCAAAGGAGAAGAGAAAGGCCTGTAGTGTGTTGATTCGCTGCGTGTTCTTAAGCTCGGTAATTAGCTCGTCTAGACAATCGTTACTAACTAGCGTCTGAAGGTTTATAATTCAGTTGAACACAAAGTGATGAATACGTTTATTTGGGACACACCACGAAGCGAAGCCTAGAAACAATTTGGAGAAGGCTAATGAGCCAAATCCTAGAAATAGAGCATCACTAACAATATATAGTCAGACAAATAATTAGACAGACATATGACAAGCAAAATAGGCATTCACACACATGACCGACAAGGTCAAAAGCAAGCGAGATAAGTCATGTGAGTCCATAGGGATATTAAGAGATTAACACTAAAGCGAAAACGATGAGTAAGCGCATGCGCGTAAGCAATGTTCAGTTCTACCAGCTCATAGAAACCAGAAAATAATAAAAACGAATGGTACACGTAAGTTGTTACTATGCAAATGACTTGGTTAAATAAATTAATAGAAAGGACTTAACCAAATTAAATGAAAGCGAACTGGAACATATGTGGAGGCACTACAGACCGAGCAACACATTACGCCAAGAAATAGAGAAAGACATGGGAAGAATGAACAGAAACTGGAAAGAAATGGAAACGGAAGCCCAGGACAGAGTTGGTGGGCGGCCTATGCTCCATTAGGGGTAACAGGCGTAAGTAAGTAAGTAACGGTTCGAGTGATGGATGATCGCTAATGTCAGTGTCAGTTGCAGTGCTAGTTTTTCTAACTACAATAACAGAAATTTAAATGGTTAGTTAGAAGTAAAAGTAGAAGCCAGCTCTACAGTTTTGTTAGGCTCACAATCATTCCGAATGCAGTGAGACAGAATCTCATGTCACTGGTACCACGTTTCGTTAAATATTGTGCTCAGATCTAATGCATGCGCAACACAGACTCCTGAATGAAAACGGCTTCCAGGTGGAGTAAAGCTACGCAGTATGAAAGGCTAATTTTATGGAAAGCTTTCCCACCTCCATCAAAAAACTGAGCGCTCTGATGTAGTCATAGTGACTGATGTTAATGTTCAACCAGGTAACATAAACGGAACAGAGAGACATCAACGTAGATCTTTTAGAGTCATGGCTCATTGTACAAATAATGACAGCCCTCTACTATATGTATGCTTAGACATATATCTATTCATGTAACCAGGCATTCGCATTACTGCGGGTAAACGTGAAATGTTGTTGTAATAAGTTGATTAGTCGCGCCTCTTACCCCGTCAAGGCCACTTGGCACGGTCAGAGAAAATAAGTTGTGGCCATTTCCGAGAGTAAGTTTAACGACTTCGTACCGGTCTATTCCTCAGGAAGTTCCCTACCGTCTTGTCATCTGATAAACCCATGAACTGTAATAATTGAAATATTATAGCCCGACAATTTAAGTATAGAAACAACTCAGTCTATCAACATTCCAATCAAACAGGAATGGAGAAATAAGGACAAACTTTGGGGAAATACTGGCGAATTCGGCTGAGAAACTTACGGGTGATACAGTTGAAATACTTAAGAGGTATTGCCGCCGTCTATGCTGTCGAAACGATGAAACAGTTCTAAGTTTCTCACTAGAGGCGAAAAGTCTATAGATTTATCTTTCAATAATTGCCAAACAGTCCACTTTCTGGCTAGGTCGTCTAGGTCGGATGCAAAAATGGACGTTTTATATTTGTTTATCTGCTGTTGGCCTATATTTTTCCAAAGTCCCATTTTTGTTTAATTGGGTGATAAGTTTTTTTCAGTTTGTAAAGTACAGGAGACTGGGTGGTCAGCATTAGCCCCAGCAATTCCGATCTCTTGGTTGACCTAGCTTTTCCTTGGAAGCGTTGACAGATGAAAATTCAGTTACGTGCTGGGGGTAATAAGTTCTATTCATCCAATATATAATGACGGAGTCGGTAGCCAGCCGATAACCTTTTTATTCTGCGCTTGTGAAGTTTTTTAGTACCCCTGTAAGCTCTATGTTTCGAAAGGTAAAAGAATAAGGACATATCAAGCAGTTTAAAAACTGTTAATAAGTCACCTCTGGTCGTTTTATGTGATGAAGGAAATAAGCTTAATCTAACTGGTCTCGTCGCACGGCTGACTTGTGATTCTTGATATTGACGAAGTTACCGTTTTTTCAACCTTTTCCAACCATTCACTATCAATTCTTAAACGTGATGACCGCGTGCATGCAATACTCAAGTTTAGGACGAGCGAATATTGTATACAGTCAAAAACACCTTGCATCGATATGGCTAAAGGCTCCACGAATAGATCAAATAGTTCTAAAAGCTTGGGCGGCTATCTCACGGCACGTTTTAGTTAAGAATGACGTCATGTCATTGTGTATTTATCCGTACTTTGGCGACTCATATGCATAATGATGGACTTGGAAACGTTTATTGGCAGCTGTCAAATTCTGCACTATGCAGATAATTTCCGAAGGCCATTTTGAAACTGTAGACTGTCACCATTTTCACCGCTCTTCATACCTTGATTTCCTCAACAGGTGGTAAAACCGATGAAGATAAGGTATTAAAAAAGCTATTTAGATACAGGAGGAACGAAAATGCCCCATAAGTGTACCCTGAGTCACCCCGCTAAGTTTTCCAGCTCAGTTTGCCAACTGATAACTGAAAGAAGTTTACTACCTAAGCTTCAGTATGACACTTAACTGTTGTATGCTCTGTCTACAGTTTCATTACGTTAAATTCTTAAATGCGTCTAGTCCCCATACAGGTTTATTGCTATTCTTCCAAATGTATGGTACTGGTGATCAACCGGCTCATTCCTAGCTTAGTTTCTGTATAACTTGTGGTAACAGGTTGATGCAAATATCCTGTGTTTAATAGATATTCGATTCACCTTATTGCCGTTCATACAGCTAGTTAAATTACATCAGTAAGTTATCGATAATTTCGGTTGCAGTTTACTGTTTGGAACTTAGTCAAAGTGCTTCCTGGACTCAGTGAAGATTACATCTATAAGTAACCTCTGTTATTTAAAGCGCAAATTATTCGCTCTACTTATTCGTTTGTAATATACAAATAATGTTCTGAAAGCTTGTTGTCCTTAAGAGAGAGTCAAATCTGCATAACGTGCGCTTTACTAACGGGAAGTACCATATTAACGTGATTTGTATTTCTCAATAGTTTTATTAGGATTCATAGTAATCTGTTCCTTTACCTGGGTTTTACTACTCAGTTTCCATAGTTTTTCGCATTGAGTCTGGATTTGATCTATTCTAAGTGTTTATGTTACCGGTTTTTATCCTTCTTGAGTATTTTTGCTGTTTTCTTCTTAACTCAATAAATTTTTATCCGAATGCAGTTAATAAATTTATTTCATCATGGTTACTAAAAGCACACAAGACACCAAGCTGCAGTTTTGCCGCGATCTCAGGTTTGCTGTGTGATTAAAGGATGGTTCAACGAAACATGCACAGACCTTTCAGCAGCTGCTTAAAATAGACTTAGTAAGTCATATCGCAGGTTGACATACAGTACATGTAGTATAAATGCTGAGGATATGCCAAGTAGCATCATCAGTCTCCCGACAAGTTTGCGGAAAAATATTGTCAACAACCCTGAAAAAAACAGTCCATTAACGGATGGATAAGCAAAAGCGCGCAGCGGGAGGAAAGAAGGCGGTCTTCGATAACGTCAGTATCTTTGAGACAAGCACCAACTCAAGAGAAGATATACTGAAACTCTGTACCGTCATAGCATCGCTGGTGTTAAACTCTCTGACAGCCAGACAGATACAACGTAGAACTTCGTACGTAAGTACATCAGTTCAGGTTGCCATACCACATCAGCACAAAGACGCAACTGTCAGTTCAAATGCAAGAGTGATAGCGATAGTAGAAGTATTAGCAGTAATGGAGAATATTAGGGATCGAAGATATTATTCAAGAAGTGTAGTTCAATGAGATAACTTTAGAAAGAGAAAGACAGAGATGATGAGGAATTCTGGAGATTAGAATTTAATAAGACACAAATAGTGTATGCATCTGCGCCATTGCAAACGATTTTGAGCCATGTCATTGAAGGTATCAAACCATCGGAGACTTCTGTCTCACGGACCCCAACCAAGTAGTCTGCATCTACGGACATGTCTCAGTCCAGTTGTCAGTGACTTCATGGATTTGTGCCATGTTTCGGTTTGGCCGACCCTAGCTTCCTTCCAACCTACTCCTACACCACAAAACATAGCTCGTCGCGGCAGTCGGTGGTTAAGCATGCGTAATACATGTCCCAACCACCTCAACTGATGAAGTTTCACCACTTCTATTGATCTGCCATCCCTACCTAGTACTCGTTTCATAACAACAGCATTGCTTATACGGTTGTCCCATGATACACGAGCAATGCTTCGGAGACATCGATGATCGAAGACTAGTAACGTACGAAAACCCCCTACTCTTAACGGCCATGCTTCTCATCCGTATAGTAAGACGGAGCGAACTGCTGCACGATACACTCGACCTTTAATTAGCGAACGGCTATCTCGCCTTCTCCATGACTGACGCAGGTTGGCAAAAGCCAATCGAGCCTTCTGTAGCCGTGCTCAGATTTCGTCAGTCACCAGGCCATCGGCACTGATGAGACTCCCAAGATAAGTGAAGCGGTCCACACGCCCGACTACTTCACTCCCTATCACTAGTTCAGGTGCCGATGAAACCCAATCTTGAAGCAACATTTTGCATTTCGAGGGTGAGAACCGCATCCCGAACATGACTGCATTGTTGCTTAGGGTGGTCAAAAGATTCTGGGTTTTGTCATCGTCTTCACCAAGTAGAGCTATGTCATCAGAATATTCTAAGTCAGCAAGCGATTTCCCTGGTAGAATGTCGGCTCCTGAATATTCGGACGAGGATAATGTTACATCTAGGAGCATGTCTATGATAAAATTAAATAAGAATGGAGATAGTGGACATCCCTGACGGACACCACTTGAAGTGAGGAATTCCAATGACAGTTCGCCATAAGCTCTCACTCGACCAGTAGTTTAGGGAAGAGAGCTTGTATAAGGTTAATGTACTTCTTTGGTACACCTTTCAATGACAGACACTGCCACAGAACCTCACGATCTACCGAGTCAAATGCCGCTTTTAGGTCCAGGAAGACAACTATTGTAGCACGCCTAAATGTGTGTCTGTGTTCCAGGACCTGTCGTAGTGTGAATATCTGGTCTATACAACCACGTCAAGGTCTGAAACCAGACTGGTTTTCTATAGTCCGCTCTGCACGAGCACTAGTAAGGCGTCTAAGTGTAATCGAGGCTAACAATTTAGAAACTGTATTTGTTAGACTTATTCCCCTGTGATTGTCACAAGAAGACTTTTGTCTTTTCTTATCAGGGATTGAGACCAGTCGGATGGGATTACGTCCAGTTCACAGATTCTACCTAAGATCTCAGTCAACCCAACTGCTAAAACTGGACCATCATCCTTAAATATCTCAGGGGTCAGTCTATCAGGAGCTGCAGCTCGCCCTCGCTTCAGATTTACTAACGTTTTCTCAACTTCATAAAGACTAAGCGGACTCACGTCGGTTTGCAATTCAGGATGACTGGAGGTCGTGGGTAACCGAAGAGTGGCTCGAGGCCAGTTGAACTGATCCCTGAAGTGTTCTGCCCATCGATCCAGTTTCCTGGATTGAGAATGGATAATGAGACCATCCTTTTCCGAGATAGTCTCACTTACACTAGGATTCCGAATACCAGTTTCCTTGATACGTCGGAAAAGTTGTCTAGTGTTGCCTATCGCCACCCACCACTGTTCACGGTCGTTGTGTAGGCTTTTTATCAGCCAGCGTTTAAGCTTACTTCGTTCGTCATCATGTTCAGAGCCAGGTGGGATGAGTTTTCGGACATCCATCAGTTCGGTGGATGCTACTGAGATCCACGGCTTCATTCTAGCCTTATAGTCAACCTTACTAGCAGATATCACTGCTGTTTGCACAGCCTTTTTGATTTCATTCCAACCTGCCTCTGGATGGGAATCACTTACATGGTTGCCCGAACTGTTTTTCTAGTTCCTACTGAAATATTTTCTTAGCTTGATTATCATTAGGTAAAACCCTAAGAGGCTTTCTTATGGTGTCTTTCCTACGTCCAGTAAGCGTCAAGCAGATATGCGCTTGCACTAGAGCATGATCTGAATCTAAACAGGTGCCCCAGAACGAGCGACAGTCCTCTATCGAGCCTCTCCATCGGTGGCTGATGGCGATGTGATCTAGTTGAGTCCAACGTTGAGACGACTTTGGGGGTCGCCCTGTCAAGAGATGCTTTTCCCTATGCTTAATGTTAGTGTTTGCTAGGAATAGGCGGTTATCTGAGCACAGCTGCAACAGACGGTCACCATTATCTGTTCTCTGAGCCGTGACACCATAAGATCCACCTAGGTGTCTTTCCTTCCCACTTGGTATACCTACTTGAGCATTAGAGTCATCAGCCACAATTACTATATCAGGGCGCCTTGATTTTTGGAGGAGGTCCGAAAGCTTTCTTTGGAACTCGTCTTTCTGAACTGCAGTCAGTGGTAGCGTTTGCAGATATGACGAAGAGGCAACGGCGAGTGTCCCTATCTTTCCGAATGCTTACTGCCCCGTTCAGTCGGACAGCGCACAATCGATTATCTACTGGGATCCAGTCTAGGAGCGCTAGTTCAGCTCTACGACTCGAAGTCATACCTACACCAGCGAGACCCCCAGAGGCAGCATCAGGGCCTCCAGATACACGAAGGGTAAATCGAGCCGCTTCTTTTTTTTTGATAAAGTGAAATCAAATTTTTGATTTTACTAGGATCCTGTATGCTCCAAAGCCTAGCTGTTGGAAGTAAATCAGTTAATGTTCCTTTCAAGGTTCGTGACATTTCCCTAATCATCATGGTCCGTAAAGATCGTTCTAATCTTTCAGTTCGCAAGTCAAATCGAAAGCATGCTCTAATATGAGTTGAACAGAAAGCCCTAACTACCGCAAATTGAAACACTAACAGTTACACTGTTTACCGGAATAAAGAATGCTAAATAACAAAACCATCCAAGACATCTTCGTGTAACGTTTACTAGCAATGCTGACGTGGATAATGTCCTACTAACTAGTCACTTGCTAAAATCTGAAGGGGATGTGAGAATATTGCCTGATATACCATATTCGGAGCTTATTCTCTTATGCGACATCCCAAAAGTCTCGCGAGACACTCTTTCGCGGAAGAAATATAATGGTGCAAGGTGTCCGAGAAAATACGGACCTCGATAATGTAGTCATTGATAATCAAGAGTGGAAGTTCAGTCCTTAAAGTTCAAGAATATACCGACCCAACAAGTGCGACTAACCAAGAAGGACGGGGATTCGAGACCCCGATCAACTTCCTCTCCAAATGGTGACTGACACTCTTGAGGCACTTCGTGCCACCCAACGCCAGCTGCCAATAGTATTACATGTGCAACAGAACAGACTATATCATTCAGGAATGAAGCACGAAAGTAAATTTGACATAACTATTCCACTTGCAGACTGTCAGATATAATTTTGTTTGCTGAAGACGCTAACAAAGTTCAGTCTAGTAATCATCTTGAGCAATAATGCAAGCATGTTTGGGATGCTATTCTCCTCCTTGAAATGCAAAATGTTGCTTGAGGACTGGCTTGCGTCAGCACCTGAACTAGTGATAAAAAGTGAGGTAGTTGAGCATGTTGGCCGCCTTAATTATCTTGGGACTTTCATCAATGCTGATAACTTGATGTGACGAAATCTCAGCACGGAAACGGAAAGTTCAACTGGCTTTTGCCAACTTGCGTCACTTGTGGCGTAGGAGAGATATCCGTCTATTAACCAAAGGACGAGTGTACTGAGAAGCATATACAAAATGGTAATAAAAGAAAACAGACAAGTGTCTCAATGTAAAACAATAACATATGTTATTGAGTAGTTGTATATTCCGTAAAACTAGGGATCAAAACAAACATCATTATTTCAGGTGAAATTACCATTAAACTTTGAGGTTAGACTCAAAGTACTCGGTAAGGATGGCGAATTGATTGACGAGTTAATGAATGTCAATCGGCTGAGACAGTGAGATATAAACTACGTATGCTCATCCGCCGACTAGCATATTTCTTGTTACGAATACAATGAACCCATCGTCATTTTTTAATTTTTAAACTCGGTAAATCAGAGGCTAAACAGGTTAAAAACACTCAGTAGTTACGATTACTACGATGGGTCTTTTTCAGTGGGCACTAAATGCAAGATAAACCTTGCAGATGATTCAGCCTTTGACTGCGAAAATAATGCTTTAGAATTTGGTAAATTTTAAAACTGAATAACCTCAACCAATGTTATTAAGTCATTTGCGACAGTGTTTTGTTTGCCTTTAAACTGACAGGTTTGTAATATTTTACCTGAAATCTCTAATTGATATTGTTCTGCTAAATATACCAGGTTTGCTTTTTTCATGACTTTCAAAATCCCTATAAATCTAAATATATTTAGTTAGTGTTCCTTTTTGTAGAGAAATTAAATTTTTTGAATATGGAAAGTAACAATGAACAGGATAAAGTTCAGATAAACCTCAATGGAACAAACCATCCTCACACTGAATCGATAGATCAGAATTTTTTTAGTTCTCCTTCCAATCATCCTGTTTCTCTCACAGAGGCTTCCGTCCCGTCACTCGAAGCATCAAATGAATTACCTAAGTCGTCTTCCATTCCATCAATTTCTTCTATAGCTAAGAAAGAAATTCCGTCTGATTATGTTTTTGGATCAAACATTTCATCACGCGTTGTGAATGCTGACGTGTCGAAAGGTGCTTCGGTTAACTTATGGACATCAACATCTACAAGTCATGATTCTGCCTCAAGTGTTTTTACTACATTGGCTAAAGTAGTTACAGCCTCTCAGGCAAACTGTAAGGATTCGAAAAATCTAGAAGATTCTGCTAAGGAAGTAGCCGAAGACAAACGGAAAGAAACATTAACTTTGGCGGAAGTCGACCTAGTTACTGGTGAAGAAGGGGAAATACCAATCATTCGACAGCACTGTCGAGCTCATATTTTCGATGCTAATAAACAGAAGTGGAATAATCTTGGAGCTGTTCATTTCCATTTAAATGATATACCCAACAGCAGTGCTGAAGAGAATAACGATTCTCCATGCAGGTCACGGATAGTAGTGCGTTTAGTGTCTACACGCAGACTGTTGATTAATACTCTCATTTGGTTACAAATGCCTGCTGCTTTAGTTGACTCACGAACTTTGAGAATAGGTGCAATTAATGAGGAAGGACACATCAAAAATTATCTTTTTGGCTTTCCACCAGATGATTCAGCTTCCAAAATATTCGAAATGATAAGTTATAGAAAGTCGAACGCTACTGCCATGCCGTATGAAATTTATCATGACACATCACCTGCTTCAACCAAAGATCAGGTTACTGGTTGTAAGCGCCAGTTAGAAACTCATGCAATATCAGATGCTGACCACTCACTTCATGCGCCCCCGAAAATAGCCAATACTGCTGTACTGCCATCCACACCAAATCTGGTCGCATTTCCAAAGACTAATATATTTAGACCATCGGTATTCTCTCCAGTTTGTAAAGATTCGCCCAATAATTCATCGACCCCAAGTCAGTCCGATCATGTGGGAGAACTACAGTTTCGCAATTCACCGTTGGATAACGTTGTTAAACGTCTCTGTGAAAGCAATCCACCTGGTAATTCTGAATATTCTACGCTTCCATTTAACAGCAAAGTAATTGAACCCCCAAAATTGTCATCGGGTGTAACTTCCCAGAATATGCCTCTCAGTTCGGTTTCAAATAATCAATGTGCCGATTTCATATTCGGGCGTAACGTCTCGGAGCGCGTCACTAATGCTTCTTTATCCACAGTTGTTAACCGTGATCTCTCTGGAAAAGATCTTTCTGTCGAGTCTTCAGAGTCAAACGACCGCAGTTTGTCTCCAGAAAAAGAAGAGAGTACAGATGCTTCTGAAACTAGTGATCACTGTACTGTTCTCCCCAGTAAGCGTACCCTCGAAGAATCTGCCGCTGCAGTGACTTCTGAAATGCTTGAAAAGTCGACGTATCTCTTGGCTAATCTTCCAGAATCGCCTATTCTTACTGGAGAAGAAGGAGAATATCTTACTCTAAAAGCTTACTGTCATTTTTATTGTTTTGATCGTCACAAACATGAGTGGATCGGTCGTGGACAGGGTTACATTCACTTGAATGATGTTGCAATGAAATCTTCATCGTTACCTAATCAAGTCTCCCCTTTTCCATCTGGACCGCCTGCACGATCTCGTTTAGTGATTCGCACGTGCCAAACTTTAAAACTTTTGGCTAATGTTCCTATCTGGTCAGGTCTGAACGTTGCTATGGCTGATGAACGTTCTATTCGTCTGACTACAGTTTGTCATCCGTCAGAAACTCTGAATGATTCCCAAAATAAGGTGAGCTAATGCCTCGCTAAGTTTTATGTTCTTATTGTTCGTACTATAATGTGTATCCAATCATCCTATTTATATGCAGCCTCTAGATAGATTAAAATATATCTTTTTTAATCTTATATATCAGTGACAATGCACCTTCGAATGAAATGACTATTAGCTTATTTACTGTTCTACTTGATCCGGTTTCTGTGCTATCTATTGTTTCTCAACTATCATATCTGTGACAAATATCACTAGTTGTGTATTGTCTTGTATTCCTTTTCCTATGCATCGAGTATTATATCCAACCATCATGTGTGAATCGACAGTCTCTAATCTCAATAATCGGAAATTTTTGGAGGCAACTACATTTCAGTGATAACTAGCATACTGTTACTATTTTAGTCGTTGTGTCAGTTTGTATCAAAGCAGTTTCCTACTCAGTTATGTAGACCACTTATCTTTGGAACATTTTCGTAATATTTTTATCGTCAAAGATAAGATTGTATAATGGAAACAGTTTGATTGTTCTGGGTTAAATTAGTGCATGGAACCAAGATCACGTTCGTCACTCATCTGGTGATTTTTAAAAAGTTTCAATTTGTTAGCTATTACATTATTTCAGTTGTGTCTCTTAGTTTATAAAAACACTCAGCTTTTGATTAATAGAATGTCTATTTGCCACTGATGTTTTAATAAATAATATAACTATAGCTTCATCTGAAAGATCTTGGGATTTATTTTACTTGTTACATAGTGTGTCCCACAAGTCAGGACTTAGACAATAGTCTGACAGTACCAATGATTCTTAGCTTCCTAGATCCCCGTGACTAGAATTAGGTCACTATTCGTGATAAGATTACCATGTTCTCAAAGCACAGTATATATATATAGCCGGAAATGGCACAAACTTCACTAAAATCTTTTTATAGTCATGATTGAATGATTTTTTTATTAAAATTGTTATGTGAAAGATATTTGGTGATAATTGTCAGCAGAAAGGATATTCCTTAGGTTTCACTGATGATATACTATTGCCGATATAAAATAAACTTAATCGTATCATAAATAAAATTTTTTAAAGTGTAGTTATGTACATTTTCACATACTAATTCAGAAGTTGTAGGTTATTAGTTCGATTATGAGAATCATTCACTAGAACGATCTTTAGGCAAACACGTAGTGATTTTATCTAAACGTTTAATGCAAGACGAAGGAAGTCTTCTTTTCAGAAATTTAAAACAATTAGTCCCTTTTATAAATTTTGATAGAACAGTGAGAAAACGTAATTGATCTGAAAAATGTGATGTATTTGTGCTATACATTTCGAACGACAAACACGTAGTGATATTCAATAAATGTAGCTTATATTGTATTACTACATGAACTTGCACTGTATAACAATCACAATATCTTTGTTTATCTTATCGGTCAGCTTCTAAAAACAGAACATGACTGCAATGTGGATAAGTCCTAGGCCGTTGGACGACTATCATAACTGTAAGTTGTAAGGATCAACTATTATGGAAGACATTTTCTATATGTAACCGTACTAATGTACTACAATTATTCACATGGTTGATCATATTTGCTTTTCCTTTTATTTGCATAGTCTTCATGTTCTATAGATTCACTTGTTACAAAACCAGAATTTTGCGCTTATCTACTTGTTATGCATTCACATAAAGAAGCTGATCGTCTTTTTCAAGCTCTTAATTCACGAATAAACACGTTTACCAGTCGTTTAAATGCTAAACCGACATATCTTCACGAAACAAATAGTGCATCTAACAGTCCTGGTGATTTTTCATCTATTCATTCCCGTACACATGCTCATCTTGAGGAAGGTGATGACTCTCCTAGTATTAGTAAAGTTGATGGGGAAAACGTTCGACCATGTAAGTTTCTCCTTGTGTAATTTTTAAGAATTGAATTTGTAAATAGTGATCTCCAGGTACATATGTATTGAAAAATCTTTGTTATCAATAAAGGGTTGTATTCTCTCTACGCTTCATGGAGCTATGTTAAACATTTTAATGTCCTCCATCAGTTCTGGACTATCACTAATACACGAAACTGATAGCATTCGTGTGCAACAGCGTAAACCTGCATTTCACAATTGTATATCGTCTACAATCGCTTCTTATCAAAATTAATTATTTCTGTACAGATCTCCCTACAGTTCCCGACAACACACCCTTACATATATTTTAGAGTAGCATTTAAACCATGTTATTAGTCTCCATATAATCGACTGGTATTCAAGTTACAACAGTACAGCAACTTATAGACAAAAAATAAAACATAGTTCCTTCGTACTTTTAGTTTTTGTTTGGTTTTAATGACCTTGAACTGATATGACTTTCGAATGATTTGAATTCCTTCAGTCCAGATGACCTAGTAAATAGTTAGACTCATTTTCACTACAGGTTGTGGTACTAGCAAATGGTCATATTTGCTATAGTTATTACGCGATAGACAAATGGATTTTGCAAATTATTGTTATGAAGATTTAAATAAGACCTGATATTCATTGACGAGAATGTAGTGATTGCAATTCACTACTCTGACGTTTGAATCAATAACTAGTGGATTTTAATTTCACTAAGAACATTTATCCGCATCATAAATGACAATCTTTAGATATGTATTCAGTATTCTAATACTAACTAAGTAGTTCAGTTAAGTAAATCGCAACTAAAAAAAAATCGAAAATCCAATAATCATTATTACCTATAACATTTTGCTCCCACCTATTGTAGACATGAAATTAGAAATTAACAAACTGCCATCAGATGCAAATTCTCAACCTATTGGTTTCACACCACCTGATAACACGAGTTGATCTCTTGAGAGCAAATTACAAGATTTTCGATCACATCTTAGTGTATTTTATTAACCTTTATTCAAATCATCTTGTTACGAACAAAACTGTTTTGATCTATAAAATATTTCATGTATCATTCATATGTATTCGTATATTTATGAAGTCTCCTTCTGTTACATACAAATACGTGTCTATTTATTGTTCGCATTACATAATTTTGAATATCCTAGTTTTGTTTCTTGATTCAGCTTATCCGTTTAATATACTGACTAACTCACTTTACTATTGGAAACTAGTAAACAAACTACTAACTTGGTTATTTATTTCAATTCGTTCTTACATTTTTGGGATTGATCTCTTCAACGACTTCACTATTGACTGTTTCGCCGTTTTTTTTAAATAAGTCGTAGCTAAATTATGAACACGAACCTATTTGTAGAAAAGTAGAAACACAAAAATCTAGTATCTCGTTTTTTTTCTTACATCATAACTACTTGTAATTTCACAATAAAGATTTAGTCATTATTGGTGGAAAATATTGATCACTCGAACTTTCCAGCTTCAGATCAATCACCACAATCCATTTAAATTTTGCTGTTGTTACTCGTAATAGGTAATAATGGCTCTATTTCTCAAAGTGTACTTTGTGAGTCAATTTTATAATTTACTCATAAAACAAAATTTACGGACTTCAGTTATTAATTTGCGCAATTATCTTCGATCAAATGTTCAAAGCAGTGGCAACGACTTTTTTTGAGAATAATTTGTTTTTTGATTAAGTTTAATGTAGCTGTAAAATTAAAATATTTTAATTTGCTTACCATCATTTATTTCATATTAGTCCCAATGCATAAATGTTGAGTAATAAGAGCTAAATGTTTCACCTATCGAAAACGATGGTAATTAGCACTATGAAGGTGCATCCGTCTATATATGATGGTAAACACATGGGTTATTTCGATATTAAGTTGACGAAAAGCTAACTGTTATTATAGAAATTCGGAGATTGTTGAGTTTCATTGAAATCATGGATCGATCAGTGTTAGACTACCATCAGAAATCCGGAAGCATTGAATAGCTGTTTCGTCCCAGCATGCGACTCATCAGCAGTGCGCATCCAATGGCCATATGATGCAAGTGTCGCTTCTAAAAGTACGTCAATGACAAAGTTAAACAAGAGTGCAGAAAGTAGACAGTCCTAACGAACACCAGTTAGTGCAATAAATCCCGATAACAGTTCTTCATAACCTCTCACTCGGCTTCTGGTTGTTCAGTAAATAGCTTGTACATGGTTAACGCACTTCTTTGGTTCTCTTTCCATTGACAAACAGTGCCGTAAAACCTTACGATCGACAGTCAAATCCCACTTTAAAGTCGGCCTGTGCATAATCTGACTCCGCTCCTCATCGTACTCAATGCCAGACGGGATGAGTTCTCGAGCATCCATCAGTTCGGTAGATGCTCCTGAAATCCACCACTTCTCCCTAACCTTGTGGTTTACCATACTAGCAGATACCATTGCTGTTTCCACAGCTTTTTGGGTATCATTCCAAGCTGCCTCATTGTGGACTTCATTTCCTACATGGCTGTGTAGCTGTTTTTCTAATTGTTTTTTGCTTTGTTATTACTAACTAGAATCTTTAAACTTCAGTCAGACAGTTACAACTTAGAACTTCGTACGTACCTAAGTCAGTTCAGACTGCCAAACCGCATTAACACAAACGTCATTGTCAGTTCAATTCCAAGAGTGATAGCGATAGTAGAAGTATTAGCAGTAATGGAGAATATTAGGGATCGAAGATATTATTCAAGAAGTGTAGTTCAATGAGATAACTTTAGAAAGAGAAAGACAGAGATGATGAGGAATTCTGGAGATTAGAATTTAATAAGACACAAATAGTGTATGCATCTGCGCCATTGCAAACGATTTTGAGCCATGTCATTGAAGGTATCAAACCATCGGAGACTTCTGTCTCACGGACCCCAACCAGGTAGTCTGCATCTACCGACATGTCTCAGTCCAGTTGTCAGTGACTTCATGGATTTGTGCCATGTTTCGGTTTGGCCGACCCTAGCTTCCTTCCAACCTACTCCTACACCACAAAACATAGCTCGTCGCGGCAGTCGGTGGTTAAGCATACGTAATACATGTCCCAACCACCTCAACTGATGAAGTTTCACCACTTCTATTGATTTGCCATCCCTCCCTAGTACTCGTTTCATAACAACAGCATTGCTTACTCGACTGTGGCAAGGTACACGAACAATCCTTCGAAAACATCTATAAGTGAATACTAACAACCTACGAGTGTCTTTTACTCTCACTGGCCATGTTTTGCATCCATATAGGAGAACGGAACGAACTGCACAGTATACTCGACCTTTGGTTAGTAAACGGCTATCTCGCCTTCTCCATGAGTGACGCAGGTTGGCAAAAGCCAATCGAGCCCTCTTTATTCGTTCCGAGATTTCGTCAGTCACCAGGCCATCGGCACTGATGAGAATCTCCAAATAAGTGAGGCGGTCTACACGTCCGACTATTTCACTCTCTATCACTAGTTCAAGTGCCAATGCAACCCAGTCTTACGGAGCGAACTACTGCACAGTATACTCGACCTTTGGTTAGGAAACGGATATCTCGCCTGCATCGTAATTGACGTAAATTGGCGAAAAACCCATCGAGCCTTCCGTATCCGTTCTGAGATTCCGTTACACACCAGGCCATCAGCACTGATGAGACTCTCGAGATAAGTGAAGCAGTTGACACTCTGAACTGCTTCACTCTCTATGACTAGTTCAGGCGCCGATGCAAGTTAATCCTGAAGCAACATTTTGCATTTCGAGGGGGTGAACAGCATCCCGAACATGTTTGCATTGTTGCTTAGGGTATTCAGACAACTGCATTTTGTCAGTGTCTTCACCAAGTAGAGCTATGTCATCAGAATATTCTAAGTCAGCAAGCGTGTCTCCTGGTATAAGATCCACTGCTGAAAAATTCAGACGAAGACAATATATCTAGAAGCATATCTATGACAAATTTGATCAAGGATGGGCAGAGTGAACGGCCATGACCGATGAGAGTTCGCCATAAGCTCTCACTGAATCAGTAGTTTTAGGGTAGAGAGCTTGTATAGGGTTAATGTACTTCTTTGGTACACCTTTCAATGACAGACACTGCCACAGAACCTCACGATCAACAGAGCCGAACATCGCTTTAGGGTCGAGAAATTCTACAACTGTGGGACGTCTGAACGTATATCTTTGTTCTAGGACCTGACTTAGTGTGAATATCTGGTCTATACATCCACGTCAGGGTCGAAAACCATCCTGGTTTTCTCTAGTCTGCTCTTCGCGAGCTTTCGTTATACGTCGGAGTATTATTGAGGCAAATATTTTCGATCCTGTATTAGTTGTTCTGATTCCTCTATGATTGTCACAAGTAGACTCTTATCCTTTCTTGTAAATTGGGACAATCAGTGATTGAGACGAGTCGGATGGTATTACTCCTAGTTCCCGAATTCTACCTAAGATCTCGGTTAATCTTACTGTTAAAAATGGACCACCATCCTTAGAAATCTCATGAACAGGCTTATCAGGTCCTGCTGCTCTACTTCGGTTGAGATTTCCTATAGCTTTTCAAACTTCATAATGATTCGGAAGACCTAAATTGATTTGCCATTCAGGATGAATGAGGATCGTGGGTAGTTGGAGTGTTACTGAAGGCCAGTTGAAGTGATCCGTGGAGTGTTCTGCTAATTGATCCAATCGCATGGATTGAGAGTGAATGGTAAGACCATCCTTTCCCGAAATAGTCTCACTTACAGTCACATTACTAATACCGGTTTCCTTGATAAGTCGGATCAACTGTCTACTGTTGTCTATCGCCGCTGCCTTTGCCATTGCTCTTGCTTTCACTACCCACTACTGTTCGCGATCATTGTATATGCCTCCTCATCGCACTCAGAGCCAGAAGGCATGAGCTTCCAAGCATCTATCAGTTCAGCAAATGCTACTGAAATCCACGGCTTCTCCCTAACCTTCTGGTTTACGTTACTGGCAGATATCTTTTCTGTTCACAGCTTTCTGGATATCATTCCAACGTGCCTCAGCGGGGAATCACCTACGTCACCACTCGACTTTTGCTAGTTGTTCCTCAAATATATTCTTAGCTTCATTATTATTATGTAGACCCCTAAGAGTTTTCCTTGTGGTGTTTTTCCTACGCCCAGTAAGCCGCAATAAATACGCACTCGCACTAGAGTATGGTCTGAATCTAAACACGTGCACTAGAGCGAGCGACATTTCTCTATCGAACCTCTGCATCGGTGTCTGATTGTGACTTGACCAGCACGACTACTGAAACCATTTGGAATAGGTGTGGCACACCAACCAACACATCGACAATGACAATTTATCAATCAATCTCAAAAATCGTAGGGGACATAGGATCAAGAAACAGATCAAAAGGGGGGATACAATCAAAATAAAGCTGCAAACAACCACAGGTATAAGGTCAACAGCGACCAATCAAGATCGAGGTTAGCAGAACTAGCTACAGGTCAAAGGTGGATAAATTCGAATACTTCGCTTCCACCTGAAGTTTGTTCTGATGTTGTTCAGAAGAACAATGAAAGCCTCATAACCAAAATATCCAGCTCACAGAAAGAAACACCTCTACAGTCGCTCTCCTGTCCTGGTACGGATATGAGGGTGGATGTCACTTCCCGGCTGCCCACACCGTGGAAGGGTGTTTCTTGAGGAACCTGAAAAGGAAGGTAGTTTAGTGTTGCACTTAACAACCTGGGAGCGTGACCGCAGAGTTCGAGGGACAACTGCTTGTGGCCGGTCACGCATGGCCGTTTTTGAGTTTTTAAAGTGTAAGCTCCGTTCTTTTTAAAAGGCCTCACTGCTGGAGACGGAAATTCGTGAGGTATGACATTTTTAGGGTCAACCTTTACTTTTCTCTTCTGAGAAAGCAGCACTGTTGCAGATGCTGGTTGTCCGAGGGAAACATCTTACTGCTGTTACACCCCTCTGTAGTGAGCAGTACGACTTCGCCCTCAGACCTTGAGTAGCTGCTTTTAGTGTCGTCGTTTTTCAATTGACCTGCGTGGCATGGTAGGACCTACAGGAACATATGTTCCAGCCAATATAGCTCTGTTTGGACACCATGATAGACAAGCCCACCACATCAAAGTAGCAGCTACGGACGATAGAACCATAAGAGGTTTCCTTGCGGTGTCTTTCCTACGTCCAGTAAGCCGCCAATAAATACGCGCTCGCACTAGAGCATGGTTTTAATCTAAACAAGTGCTCCAGAATGAGCTGGAGTCTTGACTGGAACCTCTTCACCGACGACATAGCGATGTAATATAGTTGGGTCCATCGTTGGGTCGACTGACTGACTTTTGGGGTCGTGAAGTCAACAGAAGTTTTTCCTCATGCATTAAGTTAGTGTTTGCTAGAAATAGGCGATTATCTGAACATAGCTACGGTAGACAGTCAGTCAGTTACAATGTAGAACTTAGTATATGAGTACATAGGCTCAGGTTGCTGCTGTAGGCTGTCACCGTTATCGTTTCTCTGGGTCACAACACCATAAGATCCACCCAGTTGATTGAGCATTTAAGTCACCAGCCATAATTACTATATCAGAGCACCTAACGTTTCGGAGGAGTTCTGAAAGCTTTCTGCAAAACTCATGTTTTATCTCGTCTGAACTTCAGTCAGGGGAGCGTAGGCAGATATCAGCGAAGAGGCAACGGCGAGTTTCCTTATCATGACGAGTCTGTACAGTCCCGTTCAGTCGGACAGCGCATAAGCGTTTGTCTACCGCATTCCAGTCGAAGATATCTCGGCAGTAAAGTTGCTTCACACTTCTCGAAATTTAATTTACCACCTTACAGTTGAAATATTTTAAGAAATCAACTTTCTCATCTCTACCAGAAATTCAAGAACAGTTTTAAAAGTGACTCCAGTGTCTTGTATTACAATAAATAAGGACAATGCAACGGATAATGTGTTAGCTGGACACCTTAATGTACAGGTCAGTAGTCTGAGCACGGAAGAGTTGTTTGGGCAACAAATGGGCACTCTTTATCCGCAAGTTGGAATAATAGGTAACGTCTTGTGCAGATCACTATCCGCTTCCGATATAATCATTGTCGGTATGCTTGCTATCTACTACCCTCCATCTGTAACTCAAGCCTGTACTAAAATTGATCACATTCCACTGGTTAACGATGTTTTGGTTGTATCCAATATTGGCGTTTCTTTTGGAGTATCTATCTGGCTTTTGATCATGGTCTTTGCTTTTCGGTCGCCAACGAATTGTTAGGGGTTAGCTGACTACATGCAAATGTCAAACCGAGAAAGGTTCAAAACTAGTTGATAGCCAACTAGAAAGGGAAAATGAATGCTGGTAGAAATTAAGACCACCAACTGCCTTTCAAAGTGTTCCACTTATGCCAGTTGGTTCTCTGAATCCTACAAATCTTTGATCCACGACAGTCCATTTTAGCAAATAAATAACTCAAGGGACTACATGAACCTGATGACCGAAACGTAGACGTTTGGTCGTTTTGTGGAGTTGAAGGCATCGGTTACGTCTCTTCAACAGCTTGTAGTTATTTAAACTCACCCAAGACTTCCATCGCAAGAACTCGCTTGCTAATGAAACAAAGTGGGTTTTATATCACATTTCTACTTAAATTCAAACACTGGACAGTGCCTTTCTGTTGTTAATCGGATTTAGTTGGAATTAGGTTCTCTAAGCTGAGTGATCTTCTAGTCGTCCACCAAACGAAGTGCATGTATGTAACCGATTTTAAACTCTGAAGTGTCGATTATGTGGAGGAGCTTCCTGTCAGGTCAATAGCTAAAATGTTCATGAGGATTCTGGATACGTTGAGTGCTTCATTATCTTTTTTGCACCTCTGAGCAAGACGAAAATAGATTAATTGGAGTATAAGTTTGCCACTTAAGGTCTTTAAACTAATGAATCTATGAAACTGTGTAGGTTGTTCGAAACTCGTGACAAAATGACTTAGTAAGAAGAAGCTGGCTTTGATCCATGTCATGGGTCAGCTCAGCCCCCATCCTGAGAATGCAGAATATTTCTTCCGGAGCCTGTCCAAGACCTCATTCTTTAATATAAACCTGTGGGTACTGTCGAACATTGCCACTAAGTAGTTGTATGACCTTTGGTGATGGCTTAGAACATAAGGTCCGTTTTAGTGTTGTAAAACTTGGTAGGCTGTAATTATAGCTGTCGTGATGTTATCCTGGCTAAAGTGTCGGTTTACGAAGCATGACTGGGAGATATTATTCTCTACACTCGCAAGACCTAACGTTTTTAAGCTGGAAACTAACCGATCATCGTTGTCTCCAACGTTTCGGTCACATAATGTTATTAACGAAAAGATACGAGCGTGTTTTTAGGCTCGGTGACTAATTTTAGTCAATTTGACCAACCGCTATTACTTCATATTATTATCGATATGTTTGTACTGCGCATCCTCTAGGTTAGGTTTCGTGCTAGGATTTACGTTCTGTGATTAAACAGATAAAGCAGTCGGCATAACTCACTCCTTTGTTCCAATATAATTGAATACTTGTAGAATTAAATGGATAATCTACTGGAGATTTTGAAAGATATGTGAAAGTGACCTCGAATGACAAGCTTTGAGATAATCATGTTCTTAAATTAACCAATTGCATGCTTTTATATTCAGTTTCAAAATGGTTGCGAACTATATGTTATTAGCGAGATAATTTCCCAAGACATGTACATAGGTAACCCTACTATTTAGTTCTTTCCTCGATTTTGTGTATACCTTTTATAATCCCATCCACTGTCTAGATTGTAACTATGAAACCTTTATAGTCGATTTCCTAACTCACTGATGCGAAGCAAGATGTATCAAATCAGCCTTGGTATTTAACCCATTAAAAAAGAGAAAAAATGTTTCATACGATCAAATCTATTTCTTCGTTTAAATACGTTATGTTAAATTTACGACTTTTAACCACTTAATATAAGCTGCATACTGATTACAAAAATATTGTCTAGTGGTAATCAACATGGTGGTTTTTATTAACAACCTATCTCGGTATGTAAGTAGGAATATTACAATTTGTATTCATAGTTCGGTACTTCTTGATTTTACTTAATATCACAGAAGAATTACTCATTCAGCATTTATATTCAGCCAAACAGCAAGAGCGATTCAGCGGTGCAGCATGGTTTAAGCCTACCCTACAGACGATGTTTTTATCTGTCGACGCAAACTATATTCTTACAGAAAATGCTTGTGTACGAAAGTATTCCTATTAAATTCTATTACTCAACCCATTTATCATAATGCACTACATTCATAGGCCAATACAGTCATCATGAATGAGGTATAACTTGCCTACAAAACTATATACTACAGCATGCTGGTCATTATTTCCGTTGCTCATTAACAGTGTCACTAAATTGTGGTCACATTGAATCGATGGTTCTTACCACTCATATCTATAGTTATGCAAATCACAATAGATTCATGTTAGGTCCTGATTCGGTGCATTTCATCTTTCTAGATATTTCCACTGGTTACACAATTAATTCACTGAAAAGAAACAATGATTTTTGTTCAGTAAGATATTTTACTACGATTACAACAGATCAATAATATACTGATATTTTCTCTAATGAATCTAAACGACGATACTTGTCTTCGTTGCCACCATCATCAGACGAACTTTTTAGTTTATCACCATCCATATCTTCCATTTCAGCTACATTATAGGGTACCCTCTGTTGATTCCCCTGTATTGCTTCTTCGTTTATTGTTTTGAAAGGGCTCCCCAGAGCCGGTCTACGGTAATCTTGCACTGCATACACGTATTGTAAGTTATTTGTGTCATATTCATTTCCTGGACTGTCCATTGGGGGATTGGGTGTCAGCTCGTTCCAGTACCCACCAAAGTTGTTGTTGTCATAATCTTGGAAATTGGTTAAATACTTGTTTGGTGTACGATAAGGCAGCGTATTGATTCCAGGAATAATTATCATTATAAGATTCAACAACCACCACGACATATTATAGTTTTTAATTAAGTGATCTGAAAGTAATTATTAGATTTTTTGTAATAAATACGAAAATAAATAACAGTTTTGTGAATATTACTCATAGTTCAATATCTTTTCAGTTTATAATTCATTGGACCACCGTGATTTTTGCTCATATCTGTAATTGCAATAAATCACTAGAATAGAAAGCTAATCAAGTAAATCATTATGAATGGAAGTTTAAATCGATTTCCGTATACTTCGCTGATTGTATGAATATTCTATACAATCAGCGAAGTATACGGAAATCGATTTTTAAACTTCCATTCATAATGATTTACGTGATTAGCTTTCTATTCTAGTGATTTATTGCAATTAAGATATGAGCAAAAATCACGGTGGTCCAATGAATTATAAACTGAAAAGATACTTGAACTATGAGTAATATTCACAAAACCTGTTATTTATTTTCGTATTTATTACAAAAACATCTAATAATTACTTCAGATCACTTAATTAAAACTATACTATGTCGTTGGTGGTTGTTTGAATCTTATATGATAATTATTCCTGGAAATCAATACGCTGCCTTATCGTACACCAAACAAGTATGTAACCAATTTCCAAGATTATGACAACAACAACTTTGGTGGGTACTGGAACGAGCTGACACCCAATCCCCCAATGGACAGTCCAGGAAATGAATATGACACAAATAACTTACAATACGTGTATGGCAGTGCAAGATTACCGTAGACCCGGCTCTGGGAGCCCTTTCAAAACAATAAACGAAGAAGCAATACAGGGGAATCAACAGAGGGTACCCTATAATGTAGCTGAAATGGAAGATATGGATGGGATAAACTAAAAAGTTCGTCTGCATGATGGTGGCAACGGAAGACAAGTATCGTCGTTTAGATTCATTAGAGAAAATATCAGTATATTATTGATCTGTTGTAATCGTAGTAAAATATCTTACTGAACAAAAATCATTGTTTCTTTTCAGTGAATTAATTGTGTAACCAGTGGAAATATCTAGAAAGATGAAATGCACCGAATCAGGACCCTAACATGAATCTATTGTGATTTGCATAACTATAGATATGAGTGGGTAAGAACCATCGATTCAATGTGACCACAATTTAGTGACACTGTTAATGAGCAACGCGAAATAATGACCAGCATGCTGTAGTATATAGTTTTGTAGGCAAGGTTATACCTCATTCATGATGACTGTATTGGCCTATGAATGTAGTGCATTATGATAACTGGGTGGAGTAATAGAATTTAATAGGAATACTTTCGTACACAAGCATTTTTCTGTAAGAATATAGTTTACTGCGTCGACAGAATAAAAACATCGTCTGTAGGGTAGGCTTAAACCATGCTGCACCGCTGAATCGCTCTTGCTGTTTGGCTGAATATAAATGCTGAATGAGTAATTCTTCTGTGATATTAAGTAAAATCAAGAAGTACCGAACTATGAATACAAATTGTAATATTCCCTACTTCACTACCGAGATAGGTTGTTAATAAAAACCACCATGTTGATTACCACTAGACAATATTTTTGTAATCAGTATGCAGCTTATAGTAAGTGGTTAAAAGTCGTAAATTTAACAT